ATACTATTAAGAGAAAACATCATTTTACCCTCCAAACTATCACGTGTTTTTCACGTTGACTCCCATACTTCGATTTATTTTAATTTAGTACCTGAGCTTTTCACAAATTGATCAATTAGACCCCAGTCATCACTTTCCATCTACAATTGGATGGAATGTGCTGACGTGGCATTTAAAATTTCATTTTACCCTACAAACTATACCTTAAAAATCAATTCATCCCCAAAATAAAAATCAATTTGCCCCCCAAACTATACTTTAAAATCAATTTGCCTCCCACATCAACACATTCTGTCCAATTGTGGACGAAAGGTGACGATAAGAGTCTAATTGATCAATTTGTAAAAAGTTTAGGTACTAAATTGAAATAAATCAAAATATATGGGTCAACGTGAAAAACGCGTGATAGTTTGGGAGGAAATGGTATTTCCTCTACTATTAATGGTGATTCAAATAATGAATAAAGAATACCATGCAACTAAATAATGGAAACTTGAAATAAGCCAAACAAAACAAAATAAAACAAAACAAAAAATAAGAAGAATTGCCGCCACAAGATTAACATTACCATAATATTCTCAAAATACAAGATAATTAGACACGTAGTTTTAAAGTTCAGGACTTTTTAAAAATAAATAAATAAAAGTAAATTAAGCAAGGTCTTACGCACATGCATTATTTTTTGAACAAGCCAAAAAAGTAAAGAAAATAGGGAAGATTTTTGGTGCGTAAATTAAACTAGGGTAAGTTATACTTTGTACTCCTATACTTTGCACTAAATTTTATTTTAGTCCATATATATATAATCATGACAGTCAACCTTTCACACTTCTGGTCAAATCTCACTTTGGTCCTTACACACAAAATTGTGACAATTAATCCCTGTACTTTTGGTCAAATCTGACTTTAGTCCATATACAAGTCCCATTTCTATTACTCAATTATTTAAATCTTTATGAGTAAGAAAAATCATCTATATTTTTCACCAATACACATTTTATCCCAAAATTTACATCAAAATATGACTGTATTAGGCTAAAATAAAACGTAAATTGTGAACAATCAAGAAAATGAACTAGAATTTTGCATAAATTGAAATCACGAAACTCTATTTTTCACGGTAACATAGTTTTCTGTATTCTTTCTTTCTCTTGGATTTCTTCGTTGCATTTTTTTTTTTTAACTTCAAAAGTTCTACCTTTTTTTCCTTTTCGTCTCAATGTTTACAATACGAGCATATATATATACATATATCATATTATATAACTCTCATGTGTTTATCATATAGGATAAAGTGTATTAGTGGGAAACATAATTTTTCTCTTTTACTCTCATTTCGTAGTTACATTTTTCTCACATAACTAGATTTTGTTAAAGATTTAAAAATGAAGTTACAGAAGAGGGACATTGACACTTATGTAGGAACCAAAGCTAGATTTGAATAAAAGTGCATGAGATTGACTATCACGATCTCATATGTATAAACTAAAGTGAGACTTGACCAGAAGTGTAAGGGGTTGACCGCTATGATTTCATGTGTAAAGACTAAAGTGAGATTTAGTGTAAAGTATAAAGGTACAAAGTATCATTTACCCCTACTATTAATATCTAAAGTTTAAACCAAGTATGACTTTAATTTTCATAATTTTAATTTAAATAATTTATATTTTATATTTTGAATTTTGTCACAGTATTGTCCCGTTAGAATTTTGGACGCGCAAAACTATAACTACCTCAATGAACCCTGTAAAATATACTATATATTTTTTATTATATTATGTTTTTCTTTTTTTGTTTTTGCACGGATTTTTTTTTTTCGTTTAAAATATTAAGAAAATGTAATGGCAAGGAAGAAAGTGAATTTTTGCTCAAATTAAAGGGAACCAATCATGTAATTTTACTCATTTTTGGTTTGGCAAGATCCGATGGTAATGCAATGGTGGCAATATGGTCGTTCGACGATTGCGGTGGTTCAATGATAACTGAATCAGATATGGGTTACGGTCATGGCAGCGGCAGGACGGTGTACAATGGTGGCTGAATGATGGTCGACAATGGTTGGATGGTGGTGGTGGTTGTGGCGGCAGCAGATGAGCTGCTGTTGGTTGGTGGCTCTCTGCAATTGTGATGGAGAAAGGGAAGAAGGTAATAAAATGGAAAGGGATTGGTTTATTATTGTTTCAGTCTAAACACAGACCAAACAGTGTAAGATTTTGGCGAAATTCTATCTTCTGCCCATAATTATAAGTGAATAAATCAAAATAGAATGGTGGTTAAAAAAAAAAAAAGAAAAAAAAAGAGTAAACTATATCAGTTCCTTGTTTTTGAACGAAATTTACTTTGGTCATCATAATTTTAATTTGAATAATTTAATCTCTACACTTTAAATTTTATTGTAACGTGATCTATCTGTCATGTGTTATTAACATTTGAATAGAAAAAAATATTGTGTAAAACTAAATGGATCAAAGTGAAATTTCAAACAAACTAAAGGGACCTCCGGTCTTTAGTCACATTAGTTTTACGCATGGTCTTTTTATTTTCAAATTTTTATAATAAATGATGGAGGAATTACATTTGTAACAAAATTAAAAGTATATAAATCAAATTATTTAAATTAAAATTAAGAAAACTAAAGTAATATGAATGTAATTTAGCCTATATATATATATATATATATTTAGAATCGCAAGTGTAATTAACCCAAAACAGCATGTAATCTCCTCCTCCAAGTCTTGTGCAAAATGCACCGGAGCTCGTTAGTTTCCAATAGTTTCGTGCGTCTCTTATGTTTTGCACAAATAATCTCTAATGTTTTAAATGTTTCAATTTAATCTTCAATTTATTAATTTTGTCACTAAATAGTCTTTATGTTCATTTTTGCTTGTAATTGATAACAAAAATGAGGACATTTTTATCAAATCACCTATGACACTAAATAAGTTAGGGATTAAATTGACACAATTGAAAACATTGGAGAGCAAAATGAAACTAATCACACATTTTGAGATTTTTTTTCTCATTTTGCAGTTATTTAAATGTAATTTGATGAAAATGCCCTTACTTCCATTATTAATTTTAAATGGAAACAGAGGTAGAAACCTTTACTACAAAATTAATAGATTGGAAATCAAATTGGCGCATTTAAAATGTCAATGAACAAAATGATACAAGACACATACTAGGGAAAATGTAATTAACCCAACTCAAAAATGAAGTAAAATGTGCATGATTGATGTAATGTACTAAGAAAAAATATTTAAAACATATATAAATTTTTAATTCGTGGTGTAGATTTAAATTTGGTGTAATATGAATCACACTCAAAATAAATCATATCTACACATTTCAAATTCTAACACTTTTTTTGAATGGGAAAGTCTACAATGTACAGTTAGCTCAACCAATGTGAAAGTAAGGCTATTATTAAACATGTAATCTCTTCCAGAAAGGAGATTATAAAGACAAAAGTATTACATTCCAATTGATTACCTCATAAATTCATCTCTTTCAATGTATTTCAGATCCTAAAAGAGTGTTTTTGATGAAATGCAATTTAGATGCAACATCATTAATCTCCATTCTTTCTCTAGGCAAATCTGAAGAACAATTGACTCCAATTTCAAGTATCAAACTCAAGCACTCCACAATCTTCACACTCCTTGTGAAGTTTTCTTCTTCTTCTTCTCTTTCGGTCTGAAAAAGTATTGGGTCGGAAATCTTTGATACACTGCCAGGAAAAGCCTCTTTGACAAAGTTATGGAGGCTTAAACCATCTTTAAATATTTCATCTGTGGGTCTCTTCCCAGTAAACATTTCTAACACGAGGATACCAAAACTGTATATATCACCATATACCGAGACCTCACTTCCCATACCATATTCTGCAAGCAAAATGCATTTGTAAAGGGCAAAACAAAATGTTGGATATAAAAGATAGAAATGCTTCATAAACAGAAAAAGTCAAAGAACTGTGCATAGAAAAAATAATGTGTTGCCCAAATCACACATGCAATTTTCTTTACACTTTTTGGTGCATGAAACAATTAAGAACAAATGAAAACGTATTCACCTGGAGCAGTATAACCTATTGTTCCCCTTATGCCAATAGATCTTGTTTCACTTGTAGACAAGTCATGGGTGGCATGGTCTACAAAGAATTTTTGCTAATCCAAAATCACCTACATGCCTAGTCATATCTTTGTCCAGAAGAATGTTGCATGGCTTAAGATCGCAGTGGACTATTGGTGTTTGACCCTGGTTGTGGAGATAATTTAGTGCACAAACAATATCAATGACAATATTTAGTCTTTGAAAAAGATTTAACTTCCTAATCTCTTCATTTGATAAATCTTCATTGGGATTTGGATGTAACCACTCCTCAAGGCTCCCATTGACCATGAACTCATAAATCAGGGCCTTGAAGTCATGGCCCTGATAATCTACTGTCGAACATGCTGTTACCACTTTGACAAGATTTCGATGTCTGATGTTTCTCAAGGCCTCACATTTGGATACAAAACTCTTCGAAGCTCGCAAAAGGTTGAGTACCTTCACAGCGACAATTCTTCCATCAAAAACTCCTTTGTACACAGACCCAAACTACCAACACCGATTAAATTGAAAGATGAGAAGCCATCAGTGGCTTTAACAAGAGTTTGGTAAGACACCCTCAAGAGTGAATTTTTTGATGAATCTGAAGGAGTATCTTTTCTTCTATTTTTGAACTGGCAAAGATAGAGAACACATCCCACGAGAGTTAGTACTACAAGCCCAAAGGGTATGGAGAGTGCTAAAGTTAAGGCACTGTTTGATCTCCTATTTTCATCCACTTTGAAGTTGCATTTAGGTAGCTTCAATTCAGTTACCCCCCCCCCAGAGAGCTTACTGTTTCCCACTACTGATATTTTACTTGCATTACTAAATACACCTTGTGTTGGTACTACACCTTCAAAATTATTAAAAGACAGATTCAAATTTTGCAACAACATAAAGCTCTTCTAGTACACTGGAATTTCACCAGACAAGCTATTATTCGCAAGATCCAACTCACTAAGGCCTCTCAAGAAACTCAAAGAAGAAGGAATGGTTCCGTTGAAAAAGTTGTTCCCCAAACGTAGCGTTTCCAGGCTTGTGCAGTTACCCAGAGTGCTCGGAATTTCACCTGATAACAGGTTCTTAGAGACATCCAAGTAACCAAGGTTTATCAACTTTGCAACTTCCATGGGAAGAGAACCACTCAATTGGTTTTGGGATAGGTCTAGATATATAGATAAGGATGAGATAGAAACAACTTGGTTTTGGGAGTGATTCCCAAGTCCCAGGGAAGACTTCCTTGAATTTGGTTAACAACGACATTAAAACTTGTGAGAGAAGAGTGGTTAAAGAGCGATGCAGGGATGACGCCAGACAACCTGTTTACGCTGAGTGCGAGTATCTGAAGATTCTTCAATCGATCAAAACCATCAGGAAAGCTACCGTCAAAAGTAGTTACTCTCTAAAAACAGGTCGCGAAGAGATGACAAATTCGCGAAAGGAGAGATACTCCCTCTAAGATTGTTGGCCTCTATATTTACTATTGCGAGCTTCGACAAGGATCCCAGCTCCACAGGAACTTCTCCTACCAATCCATTGTGTGAAAAATTGATGTAAATGAGGTTAGCACAACGAGATATATTGACAGGAATTTGGCCACCAATTAAATTGTTGCTCAACTGCAAAATCTGCGGCCTTGGCAAGTGGCCTATTTCCGGGGGAATTTCATTGCCAAAGCTATTGTTCTGAAGCAGTAATTCCCTCAGAAAGCTTAAATTCCCAAGCTGTGGTGATATCGATCCCACCAGTTCCCGGGACTGTAAGTCCAAGGCAGTGACCCTCTGATGCCTGTGGCCACACGTAATGCCTTGCCATTGGCAGAAGTGGATAGAGTCATCCCAGGAGCTCAAAACATGCAGTGGGTCCTCAACTATTTTGGCCTTAATTGCTAGCAATGAAAGTCGGTCGGTCACGTTCCCCATTAGCCCGGAGCTGGATGTGGTAGCAGTAAAGCCAGAGTTGAGAATGCTCAATCAAGATAAGAGTATTAGATTAATATGCAAATTGTGTACTAAATCCGAAAATAAAATTATTAGTAGAGGACCCCAATTACTTTACTTATTAAATCCGAAAATAAAATTATTTTTGTTAGTAGAGAGCTCAAAGTAATTGATTTTACTTTAACAAACTTATGTTCAATTCAATTCACCATTTTAAAATTGAACTTTCTTAGGTCTTGATATTCTCTCTAGAGGCCTTCAGATTTTGTATCATTTCAACTTCTATTTCAATTGTTTGTTAACTTTACTTAAATATTAAAATCTCTAGAATTTGAATAGATTTTTGCTTGTTGACTTCTGGATATATTGGATTGTTTATTTAATTATACTTCCTAGAAATTATTTATCTATATATGAAAAAGAAAAAAAAAATAGTAGAATTAATTCATTCTCAATAAAGAGCTTTTGATTTAATTTTGCAATTAAAAATGCAAGAACAATAATGTTTAATACAAATAGTTCAATTTTACTTTGACATTATAACCGTAGATTTTTGTGTAATATTTTCTTTGTGCATGTCTAAATGGTTAAAAATAAAACAGTACTAGATTTTATTTTTAAATATTTTTATAATAATTTTTTAAATTAATTTTATCTTTTTATGTAATGTATAAAAATATTAAGACTCCATATGTACTCTGAACACTCAGGACCGGCCTAGCCCTTCAGTAATAATTATAAATATTTTTAATTTGTATCATTCATAAAGAACAAAGCAAAGAGACCCAAACATGTTATCATATATTTTTTTAATTAGAAAATGTGAATTTCAATAATTATTTGAAAGTGAGGTGGTTGGGGAGTTACGGAGAAGAAAAATTATTAATCAACATCTTTAATTTGAAAAAAAAAAAAAAACCTCTTACCACTTTTTTTAATTTGACACATAATGTGTGTGTCTCTACTTTTTTTTATTACTATTTATTACTTTTACTTATTTGAATTACACACGTATGCCGCTACACATTGTGATATTAGTATTTTTTTTTTTATTTATTTGAATTGCACACACAACTATATGTATATATTGATTTGGAAAAGGATAAAAGTTGAAGATAAGGTTATATTTGTCTTTGTAATTGTATTTCAACTTTGGTTCCGTTTTTCAACAGCTCCATGAATGGTAAATCAATTTGCCTCTAATTAGACGGCTGATGTAAAAAATTCTTAATTAGGTAATAATAAAAATATTTAAAGTAATTTTTTATTTTGAAATAGTTTTAATTTAAAATTTTCAACCAATCATGCTTGAATGGGTTCAAGCCGGCCCATATACTATTTAATAACATTTAAAGTCATTTACCAAACTTTGCCCCACCGGATTGGGCTTATGCTTTATTTCTGAATCCATCCAAAAACAAAATAAAAAATTTCAAATCCAGCCACATAGCCCAGATATTGCTTAATATAAATATTTTTTTCGTATTTTAAATTAAGTTATAACTAATTTAATTATTTGTGTGTCTCTTTAACCTATTCAAACAAAACTAGTAGTTCACATTTTATAAATAATTATTTACATAATTTAGTATTACATAATTTATGCTAATAAAAATAAAAACAAAAAATATAAATATATATTGTGTGTGGCTCTTTAATTTATTTATATATATATATATATATTGTATAATATAGTTTGTGAGCAGGCCGAGCTGACTTGACTTGAAACGGTCTTTCCCAACACGACACATTCTATAATTGAGTTTTAACTTGCCTCTATGAGTCTAAATCATAATCCAACCCTTATAAATCATAAACGGACTTAGCGAATCACCAAGCCTGGTCGTAATCCTATCATCCCTGATCTAACCAAATAAATCAAATGTTACATTAAAAATAAATAAATAAATAAAATGGATCACATCCCGTGATATAAACATACCACCATGGTCGGACATTAGGACTTTTCTTATGTGTGCCTTGCATATGGTATGCAAGGCACTTACACCCTTCTATTTTGCATTTACACATTTGTATGTATTGTGTTATATGAAAATATTTGAAAACTTACACATTGGTGACCTGCTAAGCAGGTCACTTTCCAGGTAAAGTAATAAAATAATATATTATATGACTAAAGGTGTAAATGGTCACAAAAAAATGTATAAGTTTTTACGAAAGGCGTAAGGAATTTCAGAAAAAGGCGTAACTGATTTCTGAAAAGTTACACCTTTTTCTGAAAACTTACGCCTTCTGTGAAATCATTTACACCTTTTATGAACACTTACTCCTTTTGTATAAGTATTTTTGGCAAAACATTTATACCTTTTGCTTCGAACATACACCTTTTGTGGAAGCCCAACTTAAAGCTTTTCGGAAGTCACTTATACCTTTTGTGAAAAAATAAATTCATCAAATTTACACCTTTTGCTTCAGCTTATACCTTTTCGTGGAATTGCTTATATTTTTTTTCAAAAGTTACTCCTTTTGTGAAATAATTTTTGTCATAAGATTTATACTTTTTCTTCAAACTTACACCTTTTGTGAAAGAGTATATAAGCACAAAAGTATAAATGCTATGCCAAAAATTCTTACACAAAATGAGTAACTTTTCAAAAATGCTGTAAGTCTTTTCAGGAAAAGGTGTAAGCTTAAGCAAAAGGTGCAAATTTCATGAATTTTTTTTTCCACAAAAGGTATAAGTGACTTCCGAAATAGCTTTAAGTTGGGCTTTCACAAAAGGTGTAAGTTCGAAGAAAAAGTATAAATCTTATGCCAACAATTCTTACACAAAAGGAGTAACTTTTCAAAAATGGTGTAAATATTTTCACGAAAAGTATGAAGGAGTAACATTTCAAAGCGTTGATAACCAGAAAAGGAGTAACAAAGGGTTCATTTCAAAATGTTCGTAAAAACAGAAGGAGTAACATTTGTTCATTTCAAAGTAGTAAACACAGAAGGAGTAACATTTCGAAGTGTTCATAAACCAATTGACACAACCACTGAACAAATCAAAGGGTCGTGACCCCCGCTGACCACCCAAACGTCGGTGGGCTCCGGTGCTCACAGCCTTCTGAGATCGGCAACTCCACTTGCACCGCTGCCGCAAATCAAAGGTTTTTTTCTCTTTGGCTATCGATCTTGGTCTCTCTGTGTCGATGTCGGTCTCTCTCTGTCGATCCCTGTTTATCTCGGTCTGTCTCCAGCGATCTTGGTCTGTCTGTGTCCATGTGGGTCTCTTCTCCGTCGATCTTTGTCGATTTCGGTCCCTCTGTCGATCAGTGTCCATCTAGGTCTCTATGTCTGTTGATCTGAGTCTATATCTCTCTCTCTCTCTCTCTCTGTCTGTTGCTCTATATTAAAAATAGTTCTCTTTTACATTGACATACTTGGTTGGATTTGGGCTCAGAGTCGCTAGTCCAAGCCCTCCCAGACTCGTCTTCTCTGAAACGGAGTTCTACTGGGAGAAAGGCCAAGCCCTCCGAAACGCCCTTCTCTCTCACATGCCATTATCTGAACAAGACAAATACAGTGTGATTGGATTTTAGGAACTTACAAAAAAAACGGAACTTAGACGTTTTACGAAGTTACTTACATCACTTTGTGGCATAAGATCTATACGTTTTCTCCAAACTTACACCTTTTGTGAAAGTGCAACTTAATGATTTTTTGGAAGTCTCTTATACCATTTGTGAAAAAATAAATTCATCAAATTTACACCTTTTGCTTAAGCTTATACCTTTTCGTGGAACTGTTTATATTTTTTTTGAAAAGTTACTCCTTTTGTGTAAGATTTTTTGGCATAACATTTATACATTTTCTTCGAACTTACACCTTTTGTGAAAGCCCAACTTAATGGTTTTTCAGAAGTCACTTATACCTTTTGTGAAAAAATAAATTCATCAAATTTACACCTTTTGCCTAAGCTTATACCTTTTCGTGGAACTGCTTATATTTTTTTTGAAAAGTTACTCCTTTTGTGTAACAATTTTTGACATAAGATTTATACCTTTTCTTCGAACTTACACCTTTTGTGAAAGCCCAACTTAAAGGTTATTCGGAAGTCAGTTATACCTTTTGTGAAAAAAAAAATTCATCAAATTTACACCTTTTGCTTAAGCTTATATCTTTACGTGGAACTGGTTATATTTTTTTTGAAAAGTTACTCATTTTGTGTAAAAATTTTTGGCATAAGATTTATACCTTTTCTTCGAACTTACACCTTTTGTGAAAACCCAACTTGAAGGTTTTTCGGAAGTCACTTATACCTTTTGTGAAAAAATAAATTCATCAAATTTACACCTTTTGCTTAAGCTTATACCTTTTCGTGGAAGTACTTATATTTTTTTTGAAAAGTTACTCCTTTTGTGTAATAATTTTTGGCATAAGATTTATACATTTTCTTCGAACTTACACCGTTTGTGGAAGCCCAACTTAAAGCTTTTTCGGATGTCACTTATACTTTTGTAAAACAAATAAATTCATCAAATTTACACCTTTTGCTTAAGCTTATACCTTTTCGTGGAAGTGCTTATATTTTTTTTACGACCCTTTGATTTGTTCAGTGGTTGTGTCAATTGGTTTATGAACACTTCGAAATGTTACTCCTTCTGTGTTTACTACTCTGAGATGAACATATGTTACTCCTTCTGTGTTTACGAACATTTTGAAATGAACCCTTTGTTACTCCTTTTCTGGTTATCAACGCTTTGAAATGTTACTCCTTCATACTTTTCGTAAAAATATTTACACCATTTTTGAAAAGTTACGCCTTTGGCGTAAGAATTGTTGGCATAAGATTTATACTTTTTCTTCGAACTTACACCGTTTGTGGAAGCCCAACTTAAAGCTTTTTCAGAAGTCACTTATACCTTTTGTGAAAAAATAAACTCATCAAATTTACACCTTTTGCTTAAGCTTATACCTTTTCGTGGAAGTATTTATATTTTTTTTGAAAAGTTACTCCTTTTGTGTAAGAATTT